ATCCATTAATAAACGAAACTCGAAATATATAAAAATAAATTTAGTGAGTTAAACCTGATTTAATAAAGACCTTCTATCGCTAGGCTGAATTTCCAGGAGGTGCAAAGAATCCATTTTTTCTAGAGCCAGTCGACAGTCTGGTGTGCTACTGGAGGGAGGGTCAATAAAACCACTTTTTTCCGACGAGACGCGCCAGAAATCAAGATGATTCAGGAACTGGGAATTCCTAGAAATTAGCGGCAGGCTAGCAGAGATCTTTTAGGAATTCAGACAAAGAGGGGCAAGCTGGCGGAGATCATTTGGCGCCTTGAGAAATGTTTAATCACTGCTTAGGACCATGAATTAAAAACCGGGCCGTTTGTTAACTCATTGGATATTGTAAAAGATACATTTCTACTCTCGGTGCAAGGGCAGGCTAGCAGAGATTCTTTAGGAAATAGCCAAATGGGCCGTCATGATTTTAGAGTAAGCTGGTAGAGTGATGACGAATAAAAAATGACAACGTCTTTTGGAAAGTAATACCATGAAACATGATTTCTAATCATCATTCAAAGGCAGGCTAGGAGAGATTCTTTGATTACGAATCGTAAATCGAAAATAGGAACCAAAGAGTAGCAGGTTAGCAGGGGTTCTTTATTCTGAAACAGATGCAGCTAAAAGGCATCTAGCAGAGGTTATTTGCAGCGTTTTGGAAGGTTTTGGGGCGAACGAATACGAGGAAGAATTAAACATCACGCAGGATTTCGAAACACTGGATACCATGAAACATAGCTTCGTAGCACAGCGGAAAAGGCCGCTTTGCAGAGATCGTAAGGAAATTGTGGGTGAGATTCAAGCATTTAGAAGCAGGCTAGCAGAGATTGTTTGGGAAAAAGTCGGGCTAGAATAGCAGGGATCAGGGGCGTAGCCAGAAAAAAATTTCGGGGGGAGGGCCCCGAAAAATTTTTTTCGAAAAACTCAAAAAATTAACGAGAAAACAGCGCCGCAGGCGAAAAATTTTGGAAAAAAGGCTACATAGCTCTACAAATAGCAGTAAAAACGTGAAAAAATAGCGCCGCAGGCAGCAAAATTTTTGAGAAAATAAAAATCATAAGGGTCCCCCCTTATGAAATTTTCGGGCCCCGACCGATTTCGGGGGGGGGGGGGGCCCGGGCCCAGGGGGCCCACCTTACGCTACGTCCCTGGCAGGGATCCTTCGAGAAAGAAAAATGACAGATCGTAGTTTGGAGGCAGGTCTGGATTATTTGGGAAATTGAGCAACGAAATTAGAAAAAGGTTGGCAACGACTTTTGAGGAACCTTGAACGTGCAAAAAGCGCTAAATGCTACTAGAAACGAGACATTTGAGGGAAGTCTGAGAAATTTTCTGCACGGAATGTTGGTACGACTAGCAATCTCTATCTTTTGCGGATCATCGAATATAGTAAAACATAATTTTGTAAAACCGGGTAGCGCTTGAATTCAGCGATAACCAGCAGAGAAACTTTGGGAAGCGATCAGGCTAGCGGAAATGAGCCTGAATTTACAATCAGCAAAAATGGTTTCATCACAGCTCGCATTAAAGACCTGTAGTTATTTTTGAAACAATTCTTTCTGTGAAACATATAGCTTTGCCCGAAAAAAGAAAAGGCTTGCACTGCTTTAGAAAAATTGCAAAGGTATTATAGCAACCGAAAAGCAAGACGAGATCACTGTGGAAATTTCGGGAAATTGTAGTGCAAAATTTTTAGCGCCGCTTGGCGACGATTCAGGGGCATATTGCAGGGTTTTTCACAAACGAAGCTAACGACGATTATTTGCACCAAGTTTTGCAAAACCATAAAATAGGTTGAAACACAAATTTTGCAGAGAAGGTTTTCAAAAAATGGGCAGGCTAGCAGAGGCCATTTGAGACCATTTTTCTTTTGGAAAGAAGCAGTGAATATGAAATGCGGTCCCAAAAGAGAGGGCCGGCTAGCAGAGGGCCTTTGTGGAATTTTAGCGCATTTTTATGGATCCTCGCACGTCGCTGCATTGTCAGCCAAGCCTCACCAAGAAAGGCCAGATATTTTGAAACACATTTTTAGTTGTTGCTCCTGCGCACGAGTTATTTGAAATCGAGCAGGGAGCAGAGATCTTTTGGGAAATTGATGATATTGAAGAGAGTGAAATTTTTCAGACAGAGGGAATTTGAGAGTTTAATTATGCAAAAATTGTAAAAAATCATAAGCAAAAATTGTAGGTCGGGACTGGGAATTTATTCTTGTGTTGGTGTCCAGGCCATAGCACCTAAGGGTCGAAGCACTTTTTTTTGAAATTCAGAGAAGGTAAACAGGAAAGGGAAGGCTAGCAGAGATTCTTTGTGGAAATGGACGGACGCAAGAGGGGGGCAGGCTAGCAGAGATTCTTTGAGGAAACAGTAATTATGAAAATCGGCTTCACCAGTAGAAGGGGGGATTCCAGGGAACGTGCATCTGCTGGGGATGGTGGGTAAATAGTGGATCTTTCTCTCTCCTGGGGGAGTGAGGGAGGCGGATTTGAGATTCGAAGAGCGAGAGAGAGAGAGAGAGAGAGAGAGAGAGAGAGAGAGAGAGAGAGAGAGAGAGAGAGAGAGAGAGAGAGGGAGACCGAATACACAACCAAAAGACCCCCAACACTACCCTCTTTCATCCACCCCAGATCCACAAGGGAGTACGCGCGCGCGCCGGCAACTGTACACCATTTCCTAAGGGGTTTTTGCTAGCCTGCCTTAATTTTCTGGGCGAAATAGCGTTCCGCAAGGGTCTCTGCTAGCCTACCTCTCGAATTTTGAACGGAAGTAGGGTTCCGCAAACGTCGCGGCTAGCTAGCCCAACGCATTAATAGGTTCTATACTCCACAAGGATCTTTGCTAGCCTACTCTCGAATTTTGAGCGAGAATAGGGTTCCGCAATGGTCACTGCTGGCTGCTATCTCCGCCTCTCGAACTGACAAATTTAAATGTTGCGTTTTCCTCCTAATTCCTAAGGGATTTCTGCCAGTTTCCATTTAAATAACTTGGCTCTCCCGATTCCCCAAGAATCTTTGCTAGCATGCCCAAATTCCAAAGAGAAAAATTGTCTGGAAGAAAAGTCGGATTTTTGCTAGTAATCTCGATGTATCAGCAACATTTGGCAAAAATGTGTTTCAAGAAAATGCAACCCGGAGTAATGGAGAAATCCATTAATCCTCGCAGCGCAATGAAGTGCTTAAAAAATGAACAAAAAGGCGGACAGCAAGATTTGGGTCCACCCTGAACCTAACAGACCGCTTCACTATAGTAACAATTCCGCAATGGTGCCTGCTAGATTGCCCCTAATTTGCCCCTTTCCCCTCGCTTTCCTAAAGAGTCTCTGCTAGCCTGCCTCTCACATTTTTAAGCCCAAAAGTAAGTAGTATTCCAGGCTATTTTCTGCTGGTAAGCCCAAACTTCATCAGAAGTGTTTCTGGTTGGCCGCCCGGCAAAAATCTTTCAAGGAACTATGAAGCGCGGTATTAAAGAAATGCATTAATTGGCTGCAGAAGAAGAATTCATGTGCCACTCATTAGAATTATTTGGCCAATGATACTCTGAATTTTCAGTTGATCTATTGAAACTGAGGTTTTGTACATTCTGGAAGGATCCCTGTAAGTCATTCGAAATTCGGCCATAGCTGTGGAAAAAATGTTCTAAGCAAAAAAGGTGATGCAGTAATAACCAGCTGCACTAATTGTCTGCAGTTACTGCACTTATACAAAAAAAGAAATTTTGGTGATGCGCGGCAAAGAATCTCTGCTAGCCTGCCCCTCCCCCTCTCTCTCATCCCAAATGATCTCTGCTAGCCTGCCCCTCCCCCTCTCTCTCATCCCAAATGATCTCTGCTAGCCTGCCCCCCCCCCCTCTCTCTCATCCCAAATGATCTCTGCTAGCCTGCCCCCCCCTCTCTCTCATCCCAAATGATCTCTGCTAGCCTGTCCCCTCCCCCTCTCTCTCATCCCAAATGATCTTTGCCAGCCTGCCCCTATCCTTAATGATCTCTGCCAGCTTGTCCCCCCCCTTAACTATGCGTCCCCGATATTTACTACCCCCACCTCAGATTTACTATTTGCCGGGGCCTAGAGCCTGGTCGCGTTGTCTTTGCGCGCTTGCGAGGGGGGTGAGGCGCGCGTTAGAGGGGCGTGCGCCCGTGGTAGAGATCTAGAGAAGGGGGGATCTCTCAAGAAGAGAGGGCCACGCATACAAATTGTCAGCAGTGGGGGGAGATCGCGCTGGGCCCTAATGCTTAGGCCCAGGGCCACGTAAAAAAGTGGCCAAGAGATAAGTGAGGTTGGCTGCAGCTGCCTGGTCCCGCGCGCCACACACAAGTTTGACCCCCTACGACAAAAAATGAGAGAAACTGACACTTGACTCGGCTGTGAACATGAACGAAAAAAGCGGGAGGAGGAGGAGGAACAGGGCTTGAGAGCAGCCTAGACATTGCCGCCACGCGGGCGCCGTGTTGTGAACAATCTGGCAGAGATCATTTGGGAGGGCTAGCAAAGATCATTTGGGAAATCTAGGCCTCCAGAGGAGGGCAGGCTAGCAGAGATTGATTGAGGAAATGGACGGACCCCGAGAGGAGGGCAGGCTAGCAGAGATTGTTTGAGGAAATGGACGGACCCCGAGAGGAGGGCAGGCTAGCAGAGATTGTTTGAGGAAATATTGACAGGAATCCGGCTGCAGGAATTCATAAATTGCTCAAAACTGGGCTTATTCATAGTTCGATTTCCATGAAACATGGGAAAAGAATTTCGGTAATTACCAATTTGTTGAAAGGTCCAGATAGGAAAAACCGAGGGGAAGACTGTAAAAGATTAAGAAATTAGGATTAAGAATTTAAGAAATTTTACTTTAGGAATTTAATATACACGAAAGACCGTTAATTGAAAGTTGATCCTGGTTGCCTAAATACCTCACAGCCGAAACATAGAATTTTCAGAAAAAACATGTTTTAATGCAAGGAATAGTTCCAGAATTTTACCGACCTTCAGTTGCTTGCATGGTGCTAGTCTTCTTATCTTCTTCTTCCAAAACCTCCTTCTTCTCGTCGTCGTACTCCTTCAACTCGTCGTCGTATCCCGCTTCTTCGTAGTCCTCCGGCTCCTCCAGCGTGTCCACGTCGACCACCTTGCTAGGGGCACCTGAAAATCGTTCAAAATTGTTGAATTAAATTTCTTACTTAGTCAGAGAGCTTTTTAGAGGTATTTAAAGGACCATTAAGCCCCTGCAATTGCATACAATCGGTAAAATAAATTCTTTTTAGACGTTGAAAATTACTTAAAATTGCTGAATGAATTTTTTCTATTAATTTCTTAGGTCAGCAAAATTTTCAAAGGTGTTTTAATGTCCATAAAACGTATATTAAAACACTGAAAGTACCAAATTAAATTGTCACTTTTAATAACTCTATTACCATCTCAAAATGTAAAAGACTGCCTTAGACCGGTAAGTACAATGAGAAAATGACTAAAATACAAAAAAATGCCGTTCCGCTCTATTTTTAGGTGTTTATTAAATCCAAAAACTCAAATCTAATTGAATTGAAATGAAAGATTCGGATATTAAAATAAGCTGGCCTAACGGAACTATTAAATTCTCTGAAACACATACCTTCACCGCAGGAATTCACCGCCAAAATGCGGAACCCGTAGAATTCCTTCGGCAACAGGTCCCTTGCTGTGTATTTCGTGGACCCGTCGTCGATGGTGGCCACCTGGAAAGGTATCGATTTATTAAGTCGATTGATTTTTTTAATTGATTTAAGTAAAACTTCGGGTTTTTAGGCACCTTTTGAATTTTTACAGTAAAATTGGATGTTTCTAGACAAAAAGAGGGAAAATAGGCGGGTAAGCTTGTAATCGCCTCTTCATAGACATTGCCCAAATCCATATTTTATCCCCGGTTTAAAGGGACGGTACGCCGCAAAAATCGACCCTGCCATCGACTAGGTTATTTACACCAAATGGTAAATTTCATGTCGAATATCCATTAGTAGACGTATTGTGTTTTTGACCTCCGGTGGCTTTTCAAAAAGTATGTTCTAAATTTTCACAAATCCAGAGTTCAAGATGGGCTACCTAATTAACTTTTCCCCTTTTTGTTCTTAATAAACCTTCGTAAAAAATGTATAAAATACCTTTAAAGCTCAATTTTACATTGGCTGAGGCTGAAATCAACCTTCAAGCTAGCGAATCGACCCTAGGCACTGACTACTAGGTCTCGAGAAATATCTGAACGCTAAATAAGTCATTAATTTCTTGCTTTGATATCAATCGATAGGTGATTTTTGTTCGTTAAATGCCCATCTTCGAAAACTAAAAGTATAGGGGGGGTGCTAATACTTTCTGACGCCTTTAAAATCCGAAAACGTGTTCCAGATTTTCGCAACCCATTTTTCTTTATGGTCATCATACTGGTGAGCAATCAGAGCCACGCATCCTTTTGTTTTCCGATCCCTTTAAACTCAACAAACGCTTTTGAATAGAATGTTTTGAATTTTGGCTACCCCTTATTTGAGGAGCCACCTCATAATGGGAGGTTTTTAGTCATTGGCTACCGAAACCATACTGGGTAAAAAATGTGTTGCCCTTAAACAAATAATAAATTAACCCTATGCCGATAATCTTTATTCGGGATATTTACAATAGCTGATTCGATAATTATTATAATAGAAATTTAACATTGACTAGTTCCCGACAACTAGACGATTTTCGCCCTTTCGGCCCTTTTAAAATCCCGGAACATGCCGGAAAAATATGTTTGCGATTTTTTCAAAACCGATTTGCGGAATGAGTAATTTAATATTGGTTTGTTAGCGACGAGCAAAAAGAAAAGTATTTACCTGACGCCATCTGGAAGAAGTCGACCGTCTTCCGCTCGACAATATACGCCGTAATCGGGGCGCCGTTGTCCTCGCCCGGTTGCTGCCAAGATAGTACGGCAGAGCTGTGCGTCACCTAAATAAGACCGTTGAAGACTGGACAGTGCGAATACAGTTGTGTGTTTTACAAAATTTAAATTTTTGTTGAAAAATGTTTCGCTGATAATATGTCAGTGGGTCGTAAATATTCCATTCAAGATTGTTTGTTGTATCTCAAATAAAGAAAATTGCAACCAACCAACCCTAGAAAATTTTGCAAAATCTATAAAATAATAGAATAAGATATAAAGGTTCAAAAACGTCAAATACTTAAAACCTATATACTAAATTCTATTACCAAACGGATGACTGAGGAAAGCACATTCAGCTGTTTTTTCATAAATTCTGGCGCTCAGAAGAAAACTCCTAGCTGAAATAAGAAATATCTGCCATTAATTTGTCAATTTTAAATGTTTCAAGTCTGTCCGATGCAGAAAATAACTGTCAATTTGAATTTTAACGTAAGGACGACGAATTAAAACATTAAAATTTATTTTCCTACGACACGATATAACGATTATTTTGAAAGAAATCCATGAGTAAATGCTTTTTCGGAAGCTGACGTCAGAGCAAGATTAGATGAAACAATTTTTTGAAAACCAAAGAAAAAGATAAATCGGATTACGCTACCCGATTCAGGTTCTCGTGAAAAAAATGTTGCAAGGTATTTTGTAGCTAAAAAGATCGTTAAGATAATAATATGGACAATAATTGATCAAAAGATGAATTAGCTTCCTCAAAAAGTTTTGAAATGTCAGCTAAAAATTTTTTTGATTTGCAGAGTATGCCACAATCGGTCTAAATGGGATTGATTTTCTCATAATTAACATAACTTTAAAAATGCCCGAAACATTTATTTTGGACAAAGGTGATTCCGGTAATAACAAACGTGTCGCAGCGAATTTGGTAGCAAAGATCGTCACTAGCCTGACAATATTTAGTGATCGAAACGTTTTCTGAAATTGAGTTTTTCGAACGGAATCGTCTACGCCCGCGCTTCAAAAAACCGAAACCAGATTTTGCCATTTAAAGAAGCTAGAAAATTCAAATTGGGATGGGCGGACATCAAACTATTTTCAAAAACCAATAGGAAAGATGGGACCGCAACGCGACCGCGCCATCGGCTCTTGCCCCTGTTCAGACGTCAAAACGCTTTAACTTAAAAATTCTGACGACTCTTTCGGATTCCTCATCGAATTTTGGTCATTCTAGACTTTTTAATTAGGAAAATTGATCAGGGAATCGCCGAGATCGAGAGACTGGGCGCCCTGAGACATTACGACGTGTTTTTGCCAGTGCGTTCAACCCCGACTGCGCGAATTTTGACTTCCGAGCCCCTTTAAAGTCCCCTTTTTGCTCCTTTAGTTTTGCCAGTTTCATAAAACCAGTCGCGCATTCCCCCAACCAACAGTCAAACTTCCTTGAAAATGTACGATACATTTTTTCGCTAGTGAGTGAAAATACCTAGTTTATGCACTGTGCTCGCCGATGTCTAATTTTTTCAAAAAGGTGTTCCAGTGAGTTTTGGTAGGTAAACACTTGCTTGGCCACCAATTTTCGATAGTTCGTTTAGCAAGTTTTGTCAAGGTGAGGGTCTCGAAAAAATTCACCCACCTTCTGGCAGACGAGCTTCTGCGGCGCACCAGGAACATCTACCACGATCAGCTTGACCGTCGCCGTGGCAGTTCCGTAGATGTTTGTGGCGTCGATTTCGATGGTTCCACCGTCTTTCTGGGCGACGTTACGCAGACGTACAGTCACCGCATCCTCGTACTGGTCGACCTGGCCCTTCATCTAAACGTATATAAGATTTCAATGTACGTTTCTGTGGCGTCTAACAGCGCGAAAATGTGGAAAACAGAACCCACCTTGAAAGGTAGTCGATTGAGAATGACGTCAACCTCAGGCTTGGGGTATCCGTTGAACTCGAAGGAGAAGCTCAACGTCTGGCCCTGCGTGAGCTTGATCTCGGGCTTGGTATCGAGCAGATCGATCTTCGGCGCTGCCCGGATGTCCACCCGGCGAGCTCATGCTGTCCAGCTTGTCGTCGAGAGTCACGTGGTAGTCGCCACCGCGTCCTGAAGGTTTGGTTTTTTCCGCTTGTGGTAATGAATTTTCAGATTTTTAGCACTTTCTAGCAATGAAAAATTACTAAAAATTTTGCAAAATACACATTATGTGTTATTAACCTCATTAACACAGATGAGGTCATGAGAGAATAAAAATCCTTCTCTCCTCCCTAGCAGTCCAAAGTACTAAGCCGAAGCGCAGCCTAGAGCCCAAGCCAAAGTTTCCCAAGTTTGGTCCAAGCCTA